GGATATTTCGATGTAAATGGTTTTTATCCACGTCTCCGTACGAAAAGTAATTGCATAAATTGAATTTATATAAGAAAAGATCAGCCCGCTTTCTCCGTCGGCACGTACGTTGCTGCCGCGGCCGGGTCGGGTCCGCTCAGTCCTTTTGGTAGGTAGGAGTGTCAACTACCTAACGATAACTGTGGCCAATACTGAAATAGTAAGGTCCAAAAAATTAGCAAAATGTATTGCAACTGATACATATGCATAGTGTTTTTCATTCTTTATGTTTTAGTAGACCAAAAAACTTTTAAAATTGTTAAACTGAAGTTTGGTTTCCAATAATCATAGACCGCCTACCCATAGTTGGTTCCGTCAAGGATTGGCGGATACCAGGTAAGAAAGATATTGAGAGAGGGAGTGAATGAGAGCTAATTCAAATAAATATTCATTCAAACAGATTTGCAAGTAACGCTATTAAAAAATGTGCAATAGGTAAAACAAGTATCGCAATGATTAATGTCCTTTTTATTAGTTTTGTATTTGTGAATTTTTGTTTTATTTTCCAAGTGTTGAAAAATTTACTTATCTCTCTTCTTCATAACTTCAGTAGGAAGACTTTTCTATAGATATTGGCCAATTTTGTCATAGGGGATAGGGATAGGAATAAGAGAGGCGGCCACAAGGCCTACTGCACCTCGACCTAAATAGATCTACTGTGCTCCTCTGTTAATTATAACTCACTGGCCGGCTTCAGGCTATTAAGCAGCTTCCACAGCTTTGCCAGCGGTTCCTTGGTGTAGGATCTTGCTTGTGGTTTTTATTGTCCTAGTTGCTAGACCTTCGCAGAAACATAATATGTGTTCTGCAGTCTCCTCCTCTTCCTAGCGGCATCTGCACAGTTTTTCTTCTGTCTGTACTCCTATCCGGTGCATGTGCTATCTTAAGTGGCAGTGCCCCGTCAGGAGACCAACCAGAATCCTGGTCCGGTTGCGGTTGCCTTCCAGTAGTTCTTTTGTACGTTTTGCGGATGGTCCTTCTTTGAATCTCTTCGCGTGCCTCATACCTATGGTATTGTTCTACCTGGTTTTGGACTCATTAAGGATCCATTTTAAGGTGTATCCTCTTTCGTGGCAGGCTGCTAGGCCGAATTTTGCTTTATTCTAAGTCAAATTTGGAAGGGAGTCGGGTTTTGTGTCCTGCAAGCTGTTTTCGATGTGCATTTTGTCCTTTTATGCTGCATTGCGTCTTACGAGAAGATATCAAGCCGATTACAAGCAAGGCACAGAAATAGAAATATGTGTGGTGAGAAGAGAGTTAAGGAGAGGTGAGTGAGTGAGTGAGTGAGTGAGAGAGAGAGAGAGAGAGAGAGAGAGAGAGAGAGAGAGAGAGAGAGAGAAGTATCGAAAAGAAAACGAAAAAGTGAGAAAAATAAATAATTGAAAGAGCGAATCAAAATACCCAAAATTGTTATGAAACTTCCAAAATGAGAGAAAAAAGTAAAAAGGGCATAGTTCAAAGTTTTTTACAATGACCACAAAATAAGTAGTGATTAGAGAAAAAGACCGAGAAACTAGACTAAGCGGATTTCCGAGAATATAAATTCTGCTAGATGTTTTAACAACGTTGAAATTGGTATATATATATATATATATATATGGTGTGGGTGTGGGTGTGTGTGTGTGTGAAAGAGAGAGAGAGAGTTAGTGAGTGAGTGAGTGAGTGAAAGAGGGAAAGACAGAAAGTGAATGAAAGATATACAGCGATACAGGTAGAAAGTGAATGAGAAAGAAAGAGAGAGGGAGAGAGGAAAACAACCCGACAGATAGAAAGCGAACGAGATAGGGATATGGATAACATAATGATCTGACACGACCAACTAAACATACAAAATTGTTAAGCAATCTTGGAAATTTGAAATTTTTATGTTTAAAATTGTAATTCAAAACGTGAACTAGAAAAATAAAAACATGTCGGTTCGGATGGTTTTATATCTTCTTGCCTTCGGATCCCTTTTTTCACGGACAACAGGGCGTGGATTTCTATTACTGTAGGTTCAAAAGTCATCTGAAAAAAGCTTTTCCTAGATGTTACATGCATTGAAATATGAAAATGAAATAGGAAAATTGGATATTTACGACCTAGGATATACACAACGTATAAATTTCTAATTGTACTACTTGTTTAATTCGCGCACAGAAAAAACAAAGAGATAAAATTTATTGAGGCGTTGAAATAAAAATACCTACAGTTCAGATATTTTTTCATGTCTGAGTAATATAAACACCATAATAGTGAATAGCGCATGAAACAAGCGCGCCAACTCGGGTCGATAATATAGGTCGTGCTTAAGGTAGATAAGGACTTAAGACTTAATCTAGTGGAGACGCTGATACCGGGATCCAATAAGAGAGGGCTTAATCCGAGGACGTAATAATTACTGACTAGCACTAACATAGACTCGAGTTAGCGTCAAACAACTGATATTTTATTCAACAGCCGAGGAGGGATCTTCTTGTCTCCCAGATGGGGACCTGATACAAAATTAAAGGGACGACCCAGTAATGAAATAAGTGAAAACAACTTTACACGTCCTCTGGTAGCCTCGCTTTTAGGGCCGGCTCCTATTGAATTTTCGAGGCGGCTTTTAACCTCGTGATTCCTGAAAGGTTTCAACGAGAATTATTTCACCTGGAATGTAAACCGTGGCTTAATCAATCTTTGAACGGTGCCTGTTCGGCTTGTGTTTATCGATTGGCGATCATCACGCAAATTTCTTCAAACTGACAAAATATCTTTGGTTATTGAAACCTGTTTTTTTTAATGTATTATTACGGTATTCTAAATCTAAAGGCATACTGAAATTTGTTCCTCCGTCGATTTTTTTAGGAATACATCAGGTTCATCAGGACTTTAAAACTATTATCGATAATTTAAAAGTAAAATTTTACTGGGTTGGTGCAAAAATAATGCAGGTTTTGAAAAGGCAGTCAAAACTATTTTTAATTTTTATAAAATAAAGAAAATTTATTCGACATATTTTCCATCACAATCTATACATTTTTGCCAACGTGTAATGTGCAGGCGAGAGGTGGGGTGAATTTGGAGGGTGCGGTAAGGTTTCAAATGCCTAAGCCCTTAAGTTCTGCAGGGTTGGCATTGCGGCATGTGGGCCGGCGTTATCGTGATGAAGAACCGGCCCCTTAGGTTTTCCAATGCTGGACAAAGCCGGTACATTTTCCCGTGCATTTTGTCAATTTCTTGGCAATACTTCTCTGCTGTTAGTTTTTCACCATAAGTGATTAACCTCACCAGTGTACCATTAAACACTCACCATAAACTTTTTGCGTGCAGATTCAGTTTCGGGAAGTGTTTTGGAGCTTCATCCTTGTCCAACCGCTAACCTGTACGCCTCCTGATAACGTACAGAATCCATTTCTCCTCGCACGGGATGATTCGATCGAGAAATGGTTAATTTTGGTGCAAATTTCAAAGCGTCGATTTTTTAGGGCTTCGGTCCGTTCGTGCGGTACCCGTTTTCGAATTTCTTTCTTTACCAATTCGCTCCGGATGGCAAACAACGGGTGAATGGTCAACACTAAGCTCTTCCGCAATTTCCCGCGTTGTCTTACGCGAATTTTCTTCAATCAACGTTTTGAGTTGGTCGTCGTACAAACCGGAAGGTCGCGACCTTCCCTGTTTTCGAGATCGAAATCTCCAAGACGAAATCTCTGAAACCATTGCTACACCGTGCATTCGCCGATGCTTCCTCCCCCCAAACTGTATGATGTTATGCGCAGTTTGGGCTGCACTTCGCCCAAATTTGTACAAATAAATTTGGCGAAAATCTAGTTCAGACATATTTAATTTTCACAGGTTCTCACTCTTATAAAATTCAATATAAACTAAAATGTTTTGTATAAAAGATAACAATGTTCTTGTTATAATCCATAAATTAGATTTGAGGATTTAGCTTTGTTTACTTGACAAGCACCGGCGAAAATAAAACAAATTTTCAAAACCTGCATTAATTTTGCACGATCCCAATATTTTATGCATTTTTATTTTATTATACCTAGAAATATTTTACAGTTTCACATAACACCAATTTAGGTAATCTATTCACGCTAGTGTTTATCACGATTTGCCTATTATTTTTGTTATACCTTCGACATTGTGAAAAAAATATATTGAGAATCATTCCTAGATCTTGCGGTACAAACATACATTTACAATAATGAAACATAGTTTAAAGTATATTGAGACTGCGCATTCAACGTGAATTGAGATAAAGGACGGGTGCTCATACTAAAAATCCTGATGATGACCATGATGATGATATTCCTCGAAAAATAGTCCAAAGAGCAACACTTTCAAATTGGATTTTTCCCTGATTTTGAATATTGATGGGTGACATATATTAGATCTGAAGTAATCACATAATACAAACGATTTAAATTACTTTTTTTGTGGAAACTAAATTAATTTGAGTATACGTTGGCTTCCTTTTCCTAGATCGAATCTAATAAATATTATAAATATGCATTGGATTAAAACTCATTAAAATTTTTTCTTTTAATTAATTCTTTTGTTGTGCTGAATTTAATTTATAGGCCAACAAGATTGATCACTTTACTTAAACGTTATCATTAAGAATGTGCCTGTTCGATGTAATACTAAAAATACTAAAAACTGATCAATTTTGCCGATACAAACCCCCCAAATTTAAAACATTTTTTAAATGTTTAATTAGCTGTAAACGAAATAATATAAAAAAAGGTACTTTACGAATTTAAATAATTATGGTATGTATTAGGTAGGGGAATTAAGTTCATACTAACTAAGCCACTTTTCCAATAGAATGAATCACCATTCAAATATTCAGAATATTCAAATGTACGTTGTAAATTCTGTCGTTTTATCGGCTATATAAATTCATAGTGTTCATCTGTGAAAAGGATTCGCCTCGGTAATAACCGAAACTAATTTCAGAATAACCGTGACCTATGGAGTTATTTAAGCTCGTTTAGTGGTTCCAGATCGGTTTCATGTTCATCAAAATGGTACAAAACCAAAAAGTGAGTTTTAAAATATTATTTTGACTTGGAATTGGATTTGTCCTTTTTACAAGTTTTATACTTGCATTTTGGCAGCTTAAATACATAAGTGTGATAGACAAATGATTTATAAGATATCCTTTTTCAATTAAACTGAACAATTAAAAATAATCGAATAAGTTCTATTATAGTTGACGTTTTGATATAGAATGGGAATCAGCGTCGGCTTTGGTAAGGCAAAAGGGAAAATAAATTGCAGGATTAATTCTGGCATTTCTTTTGGAAGTTGGAAGGTGTTTTCCCCACCTTTTATATCTTGCCTTCGCTCTTCCTCCAACACTAAATTCCATTTACCAGATAATTCCAGCGTTAGCCTCCTCCAATAAACTACTTTTCCCTTTTCCAGGTAATGCCTCCCCCCCTCTCCCTAGGAATTCTCCTCCGACATAAATTTCCTCTCCGAGGCCTGGGGATCCTCTCGCTGTTGTTACCCGCGTTTTTTTATTGGTGGATTTCATTCGGAGCGGCGGGAATTTCATTTTGGAGAGAAAATGGGAAAGCGCTCCCTGTATCCGGTTAGTGAAAGCAGGTTATGGATATTTCCCCCATTTCCTCGGATCCTCCATCTCAATTCCTTTCGACTAAAACTTATAAAGGAATCTTCGGCCGTATTCCCTTTTGAAAGAGAAACATCGTTTTAACGTCACGCTTATTCAAACGTGCGCTCCGTTCAAAAACGAATTTCTCTACTCTCGATTTATACTTTATCACAATTTTTCCCAATTACTACAGCTGGAAGCTGTTTTAACAACGATTGCGTTTCTCCAGATAGGAATTTATTACGTTACAAATTTCTGTCGAACACCGCACAATTTACACAATATTCTCTGTGTACCACTGCATGACCCTTCAAAACTGAATAAAGATACTAAATTATAAAAAAAATTATTGTTATTTCAGTACGTTCAACTTACATAATTAGCGTGTTTCAAAATTCTGAATCAAATATTTAAAAGAAGTTTAAAGAAGATAATACAGATCGCTGTCCCAATATCACCAGGGCCATAAATATTTCTAATTGTATATAGGATATTTGATATTTTATTTGTGTCTTCATTTATATGATATATGTTATTTATTGGAATGAATGTATTTATTTGCGTGCATGTAAGAGTTTATTCCTCAAATACCCCGGGGAATATCGAGTACTCTGGGGTAGAATGAATGAATTTGCAAATGTTATTTATTAGCGTGAATGGTATGGTTTATCCCCAATTACCCCGGGGAATATCGAGTACTCTGGGGTAGTGTGAATGAATGTGCAAATGTTATTTATTAGCGTGAATGGTAGGGTTTATCCGCAATTACCCCGGGGAATATCGAGTACTCTGGGGGAGTGTGAATGAATGTGTGGTGTAATTTATTAGCGTGAATGGTAGGGTTTATCCCCAATTACCTCAGGGAATATCGAGTACTCTGGGATAATGTGAATACTAAACAGACTATCATGTCTTAATCTTGTTTCGATGTATTTGTGTTTGTTATTTGTCTTATTAATTATCGAGGCTTTGATGTACAAAATTCGCAAGCTATAGGACAAAGAAAAGAAAAAGTTGGTTACCGTTGTATCATTTAAAAAAACAAAAAAACAGAAATGATGACACTATAGACATATAATTTCAATTAATTCCAAGACATCATACTGGTCTATTCTTGATTTTGAACAGTACACCAAATATATTTTAAAAATCATTAAAGTCTAGAATATCTATACATGAAAAAAATCCTTCCTCGCATATTTAATTTTAGGCCTCCTCTTTTCAAAATGGCCGTCATTTTGCGTTTCCAATGTTCAAGAAAATATGTCAACACAACTTGGATTTGTATATTTGTAGAATTAGGATTTTCTTTATCCTCATTCTAGTATTGGCGGACAGATACTTTGGAGTATGGGTCGGACCTTCTTTCTACAAGGTGAACGCAGGCGTCTCTCGGGTATACCATCCTCGTCCGCTACTGTACTCTACAAACTGCTGATATCCTATCCCATCACGACACCATTATCGTAACAGACGCTGATGACACTGCTATACTATCCTCCGTTATAGTTCACCGAGCCCTCTACCACACAGTGGTTCTAAACATGATGAATCAAACCCAACATTACAAAATCTCAAACATATCGTCACCCTCTATCGCATCAACTTCGATTTATTGTAACATCAGCCTCCTTCCTACTAAAAACGTACTGTTTCAAGACAAGCGAGTAATCCAAATGCAAGACTCAAAAGGAGGTAACTGAACCGAACGATGACTTAAAAGACTAGGGGACAACAGATCTAAACTCTACTTCGAAAAAAAGGTCAAACTACTTATTACAACAAACCAAGATGAATATTCGGCATAGAACTATGGGGTGCAACTAAGCTTGCCAGTATCTGGCGAATGCAGATCTTACAAGCACGAATCCTTAGATCTATTATTAACATCGTTGCAAAATCCAGCAACAAAACATTCCAACGTCCCAACCTCACTTACAATGTCTGTCTTCCAGTTCTTTTCACAGCAATCTCCTTGGCGTAAAGATACCGTGGTCTGCTCTCAGAGAGTGAGATTATAATTAATCTATGCTTTAGGAGTACTTAATAGTTGATTTAATATCACGTTCTCTAAGTGAACCATGTAACTTAATGCACCTCACGCAATCACTGGTTGCTATTAATTAAACAAATAAAATAATATTTTTCTTATTGAAGGAAGAACAAACTGTTAAGTATGCAGACTTTTGGCTTGGTAGAAACATTTTTCATATAAGTCGGAGCGAAAAAAGTAGAAAACTTCGAATTTTCGAGAAAAAATGAAAATAATGTTATCACTAGGATGGGATTTTGGTTTCTCTGGATCAGGGAATATAATATTCACTAACGTGCATTCAATGTTCAGGAAAATAGGTCAATACATGATTTGTATTTTTGTTTAGCTAGGTTTTTCTTAGTTATGGAAGATCAACTGTTAAGTTTGCAGACTTTTGGTTTGGGAATAATATTTTTCTCTTAAGTCGGTGATAAAGAAGTAGTAGAGGTTCTTCGGGTGTTCCAAAATGAATGAAAATAATGGAATATCAGATTTTGGTTTGCTGGATCATAAGGTTAACAATCCTTGAATGCATCAAATATCATGAATAATAATCAAATGTATGAAAAATCAAATAACGGAAAGATCAAACTGTTATGTCTGCTGATTCTTTGCTTGAGGATTAAAAAATGGCATTTTCACTTGGGCCAGTGCAAAAAGTCTTCTTCTTTCATCTTCCGCTTATGCCTGAATGGTCGTAAGCCAATAAAGACAACGTGAGATTTCTCCGTGTGGTCTGCAGGGGTGAAAAACCTGCATTTGGGTCGTGACCGATCATTTTGGTCTATCTACCCTCGATGGGTTTGTCTGCCGGATGTGTTTCGATAACGGCCAGATTACAATAAAGTCTTCGAGGTGTAGCCTAGAAAATCAAAATACTAAAAAAGTGCAATAAGTTCTTTTTGTGTTGCTTGCAAAATTTATCACACTTTAGCCTTTGGTTTTTATTTCTGTTTTTATTTAGGTTAGACCTAATCTCAAGACCCGAGGCATTTCTTCTAAAAATTATTTATTATTGCGAATATTCAAGGTTTTTCTTGCAAAAATACTACTACTGAAACGTTTAAATAGATTATTTTTGAAGAATAAATTACAGTTGATTAACGCTACGAACATTTTCACATACATATTTCAAATAAACAGAGGCCCAAATTGCACTTCAGTTATTTAAAAGGCATAAAAACAACACCAACATGAACTTAATTTTTAAGCTTCAATTAATTAAAGGGTTAAAAAATTATGTATAAAATTAGTATGCAAAAGGGAGTGTGTGTGTGTTGTAAGTGGCCATATCCAGGGTTATTATGGATTAGCGTCGTTCAAAACCGTGGAACCTATTTAGACGGGTTCACGATATACGTACCATATATATTTCAGGAGACGTGGAGAGGTAAATAAATAAAGTGATGTACTCGCCATTTCCCTAATTGTTACACCTTGCGGTACCAATGGGATTACTAAAGCAAATTCCCTCCTCTCTTCCTTTAGCGAGAGGCAATTACATAGTTAAGTCTGTTATGGAGCCCCACGTATAAGCTAATCAAGTTTGTGAGGCCTCCAACTAACGTGTGTGTGTGTGATCACATTACAGCCCTGTTCAATTATTCAACATCATCATCATCAACATCATCATCAAGAAAGTTGTCTAATTGAATGGAAGGGAGTAGGTTGTCTCTGTATTATGTAGCGGTGATGGAATTATGGAAGAGAGCTCGCTAGGCGCCTCCCTGTTTTCAATAATACAGGTGTTCCTCTCGCGGCCTCTTGGATTATGTAGCGACACTCAACAACTGACTTAGGTAGTTCACTTCCTTAAAAAAATATATTCGTTCTGAAAAAATTAAATGAGCTACATTTACATTTTAAAACTGCAATCTGTGTTTTATTACAGAAACGCCTTTATGCCATACTTTCTCGTTTCAGTAGCAAAAAAAAAAACACTCATAAGTCCGGATGTACCCCTTTAGCATTTAGTAAATTTTAGTCAATTTAAGGTTGACGAACACATATTTTTCAGTAAAAAAACAATCATATTAGAGCAATTCATTTTGTAATTAACATGATTTGCTTGTAATCCACCAAGTTTATTCTTTAAATTGTTGCTACTGTTTCTTTAAATCAATATTAGCATGTTTTAATACATTCTTTTGCCTCAATTTCTCTCTCACTCTCTCTCACTTTTTCTTTCTCTCTCTCCATTTCTATTTATCTTTCTATCTATCTCTCTATCTATCTCTACCTATCTTTTCCATTCTCATTCATTTTCCGCCTGACTAACTGTTTACCTTTCTCTCTTTCTTTCGATCTCTCTCTCTCTCTTTCTTTTCCTCTGTATCCCATCTCTATATACATATTATANATATATATATAAATCTCTTCCCATTCTC